TTTAACACTTGTTGAAATCCTGTGTGAATTTACAAGTTGAAGTTAAACCGAGATGATGTGTAACACTTGTTAAAATTCTGTGTGAATTTACAAGTTGAAGTTAAACCGAGGTGATATTTAACACTTGTTGAAATTCTGTGTGAATTTACAAGTTGAAGTTAAACCGATGTGATATTTAACACTTGTTGAAATTCTGTGTGAATTTACAAGTTATAGTTTAACCAAGGTCATATCGAAAGGAAGATGGTTTAACACTTGTTGAAATTTTGAGAAAAATTTACAAGCTAAAGTTAAGCCGAGGTTATGACAAAGGATGATGGTTAAAACACTAGTTGAAATTTTTGAGAAAAAATTTACAATTTAAAGTCAAGCTCAAGCAATATCTACGTACTTGCCGAAATTGCCAGGTTGTCAAAACTTGAAATATGGAAAACTGAAGTCTTGATAGAAGACATTGAGAAAGTGACAAGTCCTAAGCAACACTTGTGAAAATATTTGTTACAATATTTTCAAGTGTTAGAACAAGGCCGAGATGAGCAAGATTAGAAGTTGTGACAGAGGTATTTTACCCGAAGAGATTACACAGTCAAGGTGTACTTTGAAGACATGCAAACTATTCTAAGTGTAGAATCATACAAGAGCAGAAAAAAGAAGATATTCATTCAAAGAAGAAATTAGAGAAATGCATTTAAAGAAGAAAGAAGGCACTTCGGCCTGAATATTGAAAAATAAATTATTCAAACTACAAAAATGGCACGTCGGCCGGATGAAAAGCATACAAAGAAGGACAAAGTACAAGGTACAAGGTACAAGGAGTAAAAGAATGAAACAAAACTACTCGGCATCAAATGGCAGGATATAGAAGACAGTTGGGAAGACTTCTCAACAGCCTTCTCGGCCTCGAGCTCAGCATCGATCTACCGAAGAGTTTGATCAAAGCTCTTCTCGGCGATTGGCACCTTGGAGTTTGAAGGCAAGGATTGAAAGTAAGAATCTGGAAAAAGACACAGAAAACAGAAACAAGAATGTAATTCGTAATCAAAATGGTGATGAAGCTATCAGGAAATCAAGACAAAAAGATTGCACAGGTGTGTCAAGCCAAGAATAGTGGCAGAAATCAACAGATGTGTGAACAGTATGTATTCAAGAAGATGATTTGGAAACAACGGGTAAAACAACAATGGTGATTAAACAATGATGCAGAGCTTCTTGGAAAGCAAAAAGAAATAAAACCAGGAGGAACAGTGACTTACCAGAAAGAGGGAAGCCGGAATGAGAATTACCGAAGTCTGACGACGGATGCGAAAATGACAGAATTACGTAAGCTTCACCGGAGGAGAGGAACGAAAACAGTTGCAGAGCCTGAAAGTTTGGAACAATGACAGATTTAAGCAAAAGATCTAGAAAGAGAAAAAGCCAGATGATTGAATGAAAAAAGAGAAAAATCAGAGTCAAGAAGACGACAAAGTTCAAGAATAAAGCCAAGTGCACAGGCACTAAGTAAGTATGTGAAGAACAAGAAAGTAATGACCCAGACACGATGCTAGCAACAGAAAGCGGATACAACAAGAACAGTGCCAGGCATTCAAAACAATTTAAAAACTTGAAAACAGACAAAAATAGAAGACAACAGAGGGCAAGTAAACGGATTCAGAAGAGTTATAAAATATTGAGCTTAATAAAAGAGTTTATGAACCTACCAAGAGAAATGAACGCTGATATGAAGATTGCCGGAGTCAAATAGATGACTGGAAGTCGGAAACCCATCGAAGAATGTGAGTGGAGCAGTTGTGAAGCTCTTGGAGTTTACGAATTAATGGAACAAGAACCTCGGCTAGGAGGTGTGCTCTCGAGCAGCTTGGAAAGCATGAAGCTTGATACTTGACAGAAGTGGACAGTAAAAGTCTAGGAAACTTTGAGGTCGGCGAGTTTGATCTCGGACAGTGGGGCATAGATGAACGAACAGCGTAGGTTCCATCACCTCAGAATGCCAATAGAACCTAGGGGGTAGTTGTGGGGATATATTTTCTGAGTACCAACACGTGGCCAAGGTGACACCGACGTGTCAGCCGAGGTGCCACATGTCCTGGTTGTTATGCCGAGGTCATCTCGGATAAGCCGAGGTTATCTCTGAAGATATCGGAATTCGAGATAAGCGGATGAGGGGCAAGAGTCCTAGAATGAGAGAAGACTTCAGTTTGTATTAAGATAAGACTCTTAGATAGTTTATCGTAATCTTACTGGGAGTCCAAGATTAGCAGTAATCCTGAGTCCATAGAAGTTAGGCTTCTATTGGGACTAGGTTTATATTGGCTATAAAAGAGAGGCACCCCCATGGGTCTAAGGTATGATTTTTATACTCAAGCTTGTGAGTTTAGCACTTGATTTATCTTTGAGAGATATACTGACTTGATCGTCGGAGTGCCCCCGGGTGGACGAACCACCGCCGGAATCTTCTCTTTCTGTTGCAGGTCAGCCAGGTGTCATCTATTCTGCCGGTGCTTTCCAGCTGGTTACTAAGCGGGCAGTGTGGTCAAAAAATTACTCACACAATTAGGTACATGAAGCATGAATCTATTGTTTTAAACTTGACATTCATGTTTGGATTTTCTTTTCTTTTTTTTGATAAGTAATAACTCATGTTTTGATTTTGCTACTAAAATATGCAAGTTCAACTAAAAATCAAACTTACATTATCCAACAACATACTGTTGCAATAAGAACCAATGTAAGATCGAACCTACGTCACATAATGCATATTAGCTAAAAAATAAAAAATAAAAAGTTTGTATTCTGAACATTATTAGCAAGCTTAGTGAACTACATTATGACGCCTTCCTAAACATTATTAGCAAGCTTAGTGAACTACATTATGACGCCTTCCTAAACATTATTAGCAAGCTTAGTGAACTACATAAATCTAGATGTTCTTTAGACTCTTATGAAACAATCAATCTGAGTACCTCCCAAATTCACAAATTTACTAGTTCCATAAACAAAATTGAAAAGATTTGTATTCTGAAAGATAAATCCAAAACGGTTCACTATCTAATCCAATTATGATAGACTATGAACAGAGATTTATGAGACTAATGAGAGGACCATGCGACAAGGGTTTGTTAAAAAATAAAAAGAGAAAACAGAGCTGCAATGTACATATATAATTTAATAAGTAATCAGAAACTAAGAGGGGAATAGGCATCTTTGTTAGGACACTAAAATAGAGTTGTGGTTGCAGAACTCCCAAATATATTGATTTACTAGAAATTCCGAGTCAATATATCAAATAGCATTCTCGATCCATTAGAAAGAAATAAACTCATATGTGACATCAAGAAGTTCAAAAATAAAAATAAAAATAAAAGAGAGAAGAAGAAGTTCAAAACTCACAAAAAACATATCTTAATGATGTATATAAATATTGGCTTGTTAGTATTTTAGTATATAGTTAAACATCTAACTTCCTCATAAATTTATAATAGATTAATTTTTCACATGTATTATGAACGGAATAGGACTAAATGAAGGTCCAACAAAATCTCACATGTCTCTAGAATGAATCACATGTAAATACATACATACATATATATATATATATATATATTTCAAAAGAAACTTTAACCAATCAAATAGGCCATATTGAATAGCCTAAGACCACAAAGCATTATAACAACTCATATAAAAATTTATGTCAATATTTGTTTTTAACTGTCTTAATCTATTTGTGTTGAATCATGTAGAGTGTTCATAAAAATTATTCAATTAGCTTCAAATCTCTCTCATTTTCAATTTCTTTCCAACTCTTAATAAACAGTGGTATAGTGGGAGATATGACACTGCTATTGAACTTCCTATTGATTAAACAAACTTCACCATGAAATGCACATTCCTAACCATATGAAGAAGCCAAATCTTGCACTACAAATTAGTCCATAACAAGATAAAAAAATCTCCATGAAGCATCCAAAGAAAAAAAAAAAAACCTTCTAGAAAGATGCAATCCTTTTCATTTTGTTTTAGCTCTATTTGTTTCCTTCTTCCAATAGGCCATCTGAAGAAGAATGGACACTGAAGGGCACTAAAACCATTCCACAGATCAGTCTAAAGATTAAAATAGAACACATAAACCACTAAATCAGTCTATGTCATTCTATCTAGAAGCAAAATCACCGAACAACCAACAATTACAAATAAAATCATCCGTACCTGAGCAAAAATCATGTACAATTTCAACCAATAATATTAAAGGGTGGTTTGGTTATTAGAATTAGCTTCTTTCTTCTTTTTTTTTTCCTTTTTCTTTTTTCTCCGTAAACTGAAATAGCACAAAACCCTCAAGCTCTAAAGTATACTCAACAAATAATAACTCAAAGTTGTATACGAGTTGAAGTAATAACAAAACTATTTATGGATAAACATCTTTGACAATCCCAGAGAAAAGGTTTACTACAAATCTGGGCTAGCCAAGAAGCTGTTCTGATAATTGGCAAGTGAGAATAAGCAAATAGTGATCTTCAAAAGGTTAAATGATTCACCAACCAAAGGATTGAAAGTCTAGAAAACAAAGAAAACAAGACAAATGAACAAAGATTCACCAACCAAAGGATTGAAAGTCTAAAAAAAAAAAAAAACAAAAAAAAAAAAAAAAAAAAAAAAAAAAATCTAGGCTACCAATTTTCATAAATAATCACAAAATGAAGGGCAAGATAACTCTAAGATTTTTAGGATGAACTACAGTCTACTGTTTAAATTAATTAGCTTTATTGTTTATGCATCTCAATAAATTAATTTTTATACAATCACATGTTTTAGATTCAACAAACACACTAAAATTTTAAATTCAAGAAAATAATTTATTCTATAGAATCAGAACCTAAAACTAATTTATTAAGTCTTCAATCAAAACTCTATTTTTTCAAATGAAATCCCCAAATCAAATTTTTTACTTTTTTTTTTTTCAAATCTCCAAATCTTAACCCTAGAACAAATAGGTTCCAAACCTGGTTGAAGGGAGAGTGTTTTCTTCTTTGCTGAGTCTCTCCGCCATGAGTACGTTTCTTTCGCCTCTCTACGTCGTTCCCTTTCCGTCCGGCTTCTTCCCTCTGTGTCGTTTCTTCTATCTGTTTCAGAGAGCTCTCTCTCTTTCTCTCTCTCTCTCTCTCTCAACAAAACTTTTCATTTTATTTTTCTTTTCAGGAGTAATAGTGTTGGCTTTTTTGCTTTCAACAAATAGTAATTTTTTGGGGACAAAATAATTTGTCACCAATCACCAACTTTAGGCACGTTCAATTTCGTATGACGCCAAAATATTTGGCTTCTTTTGTGATAAAATAATTTTCTAACTAAATTAAAATTTTATCTAAAAAAATTAACTTCTTTTTGATTTTTATGACAAAATTAAAAGTTATATTTGATTTGATTTTTAATTTTTTTTTTGAATTGTCGTTTATGCTTAGTGAATTTTTGTCAATGTTTTATACTTTTTAGTTGTACCTAATCTAAATGCATCTAAAATATCATAAAAATTCATTACGAACAAATGAAAATTTGAATAAAAAATTGTGTACATTTTTGTTCGGATTTTTGTTTGCTTTTAATGAATTTTTTCATATTTAGTTATTATTATTTTTATTTTTTTACATGCATCTAATCTTAACATATTTACAAAGTACAAAATGTTGACTAAAATATGGGAAAAAATTTATAAAAACAAACGAAAACCTGTTAACAAATAATTTCTAAGAATTTAAACCAACAAAATTAAAAGTTCAAAAACTAGCGAAGAATAATATTTTTATCACCAATTTGTTTATTTTGAGTTTTCGTTTTTCGTTTGTCTTTCGAAAACTTTTTAAAGTTGTAGTTATTAATTCAATAAAAATATGAAAATACACTAAATTTTTATATTTTTTTGTAGTGAATCAAAAGAAAAATGAAAAGAAACGACAAAAGTAATATTTTGTCAGGTTTGGGTTACGTTCTAAGACAAAAATAAATTTTATCACCAAATTTTAAAAATTAATTATTGAAAACTCCATACTAAAGAATGCAATGTTTTCTATTAATTTTGAAAATTAAATTTTTTTAAATATTTTTTTCTCTGTATTTTTTCTCACAAAAAATAGTTACATTAATTATCTTTCTTTTTCTTTTTTTCTTTTTATTTGTTTGTTTGTGGAGAGAGGTTTTGACCTTCGATTTTTTGAAAGTGGGTGCTCTAGACGGAAAGGGTAGAGTTGGTTCAGATAATGAGAAAAAGTGCTTGCGTGTAAGAGGAGCCTTTATTGTGACAAAGAATAGTGGGCTTGCATAGGGTGCCTTTTTGGATAATAGCTTCAATGCTGGCATGTACGAAGAGCTTAAGTGTGAGACAGAAAAGAGGGGCTTTAGTGCGAAATAGAACAAATGGTTTACAGAGTGTCTTCTTAAGTCACGACTTCAATACTTGTGAGAGAGAAGTAGGCTCAAGTGCGAGAGAGAAATGAGAGTTTGTAGAAAGTGTATTCTTGGGTCACAACTTCAATGTCCTTGTACATGAAAATGAGTGATAAGAGTCAGAGTGTGTCTCTTGGGGTCACGATTTTAGTGCTTCGAAACACAAAACCACTACATTTTAATAAAGAGAAATAATTAGTGATAAAATATTTTTGTCTCCTTAAAAACAAGAAAAGACAATTTATTATTAGTGATGAAATATTTTTGGCTTAACTTAACCTTACGAGATGAAAAATGTATTCGTCGTGCAATCAATCAGAATTTATTAGTGACGAATTATTTTCGTCTCCCACAACTTATTCTTCCAAGACAAAAATATATTTGTCGCTCATTTAACAGAAAGATGAAATAATATCGCCTGCATGATGGAGTGTTTATTGGTGACAAAATATTTTCGTCTTCCATAACTTATCCTTCCCGGACAAAAATATATTTGTCGCCTAATAAATGGAAATATGCAACGACATCGTTTAATAAGTAGGGAATTTATTGGCAACGAATTATATTTGTCACAAAAAAAAATTATATTTTGTGACAAAAATGTTCGTCTTTAATGAGTTAAAATAATTCGCACCAATGCAAATGAAATTGACACCTTATTTTCGCAGACAAAATTTTGTTTTCGTCTCCTATACTTTTAAGAAAAATTAAAACAAATGACAAAATTAATATTTCGTCATCTTTGAGTTAAATTTTAAGACAATTTTCATCACCAAATTTTGTCATAATAGCCTAAATTTCTTGTAGTGATATACATACTATATATAGAGATCTTTCTTGAAATTGATTTAATTCTAAATCTTTATTTAATTAATCTAATTATACATATATATTGAATTATTTAACCTAATAAAACTACTAATTGTATACCTATACATACGTGTATATATATATATATATAAACACATGGAGAACTTTGCTACAATTGATTAATGGTTGATGGTCAAGAAAACGATTGATGAAGCCTGGACGTTGTTTACAAGCTTACATTAAATAATGCTTGTTGAACCTTTGATGCTTGGAATTGAAGGGAATATGCAGGGGAAGTTCCTGCAGTGGTCGGCAAAGAGAAGATGCAGTGGTGACAAGGGCTGTGGAGGAAGAAGGAGCAATTATGGTGGTCGAAAAAGGTAGATGGGGTAGCGGCGGCGGATGGGGAGGAAAGGTGGGGCGGCTGCAGTGGTCGGAAAGATGAGAATGCAATGGCGGCAGGGGCTGAAAAGGGAAAATGGGTGGTCGGTGGTGGTCGAGAAAGGGAGATGGGTTGGCTGGTGGCTGCAATGGTTGGGAAAGGAAGGTGCAGCTGGTTACAATTATTTGTTCAAAAAATTATTGAAAAAAAAATTATTTGAAAAAAAAAATTAATTGAAAAAAAAAATTTGGTAGTCTAATTTTTTGTGTTTAAAAATCAACGTAAACTCATTTTTTGAGTTTACGTTTTTTCCTTAAATTTATAAAGTGAGACAATCATTTATAAATCTAAAAGAATTATCAAACAAGTTTTTATGACAGTAAAAGAGCGATCTGACTATATTTGAAATATAAGAGGTAAAGTACTCTAGCCTCAAATCACAAAAATTAGCTCCTCTACATACTTCATCTCTCTATACTCATCTATAACTCTCTTGTGAGTCTCAATTCGGATTCACTTTAATAATTCAAACCGTCTACTTTATAGACTTCACAATAAAAATTATTCATCCTAAAAATTAAATTTATTGAACAACTATAAAATGAACAATTTTGATTATTAAATTAAATCCGAATTAAGATCTATAAAAATAGTATAAATAAATATTGAAAAAAAATAAGGGGTTGTTTGGGATAAACTAAATAAGTGTATTTTTTTATTTTTTTATGAAATATAAGTTAGATATAGATTGGGTTTGAAGTGATGTGGTAAAGAGACGATGTGTCTTAAATAAAATAATGTGATTTAAATAGGATAATAACTTTTTAACTTTTTAATTTTTTTTAGTTATGCCAAACTAAGCCGAAATATGGAGAAGAGCTTATAGCCAAAACACATTGGGAACTTTGGGTTCCAATTTTTTTTTTTTATTTTTTTCACTAAATAACAAATTTTTTACAAAATTAAAAAAAATACATCCAAACAAAATATCACATTTAATTTCATAATCATTTTACTTTTTATTTCATAAATATCATATCAAATCACAAAAAAACTTAACTATTTTTCTAAACACCAAAATTTTTTCATCTAATAATATCCTATAATTAAAAAAAATTACATAAAAATTTATTTCCCAAAACCCCAAAATGCATAAAGTATCTTTAAATTTTTTTGGGCGTAACCTGCTAGCGCACGTGTGGCGTGATCATAAGTGGGTCCCAATCAATAATCGTAGCACATAATACAACGATAACAGAAACATCTTATCATTCTCTCATTTCTCTCTCTGCCAGTAGGTTTTGTCCTTTTATGTACGGTAACAAGCGTGCGTGGATACACACGCACGCACGGACCATATGCTCCCAAACCACCTGCTGTTCCACCACGTTGTTTCCTTCAAATACCGCCCATCGAATTGGCCACTCCAAGTGTTCCTTACAAACACATAAGGTAAATGATTTTGTAATAGAAAATGTGAGTTCTGCAGTAACACTGTAAATGAATTGAATGATTTGTGAGCATGTTTAACTTAGTGGTTTGAGTTTATCTAAATAAATATATTTTTTGATTTTTTTATAAAATATGAATTGAATATGGATTGAATTTGAATTGATATAATAGAGAGATGATGTAATTTAAATAAAATAATGCAAATTTAGTTCGATAAAAATTTGTTTAAATTCAATTTGTTAATTTTTTTTTCTTGTTACTTTCGAGTTTGAGTTTAAATTCGTTAAATTTTTAATAAATAAGTTCAAACATATTAAAGTTCGGCTTATTCATTGCCTTATTTAACATTTATTATTTATATACTAAATAATATAAAAAATATATATAAAAAATAAGATAAATATGTTATTTATATATGTAAAAAATATAAATGTAACTAATAGTTAACTATAAATAGTACATTTATGTAATAGTGATAATAGATATTATCATTTTAGTAAAATATTGACCTTTTTTTAGTATGTTTATATATATTGTATAATCAAAATTTTAATTATAACTTTAGTCTTGTGGTGATGTATTTTCTGAATACCAACACGTGGCCAAGGTGATGCCGACATGTCAGCCGGGGTGCCATGTGTCTTGGTCGTGACGCCGAGGTGATCTCGGCTAGGCCGAGGTTATCTCGAAGATATCGAAGTCCGGGATGAGCGGATAAGGGACAAGAGTCCTAGAATGAGAAAGGACCTCAGCCTGGATAAGGATAAACCTCTTAGAGAGTTTCTTTTTATCTATTGGAGAGTCTAAGATAAGCATTGAGCTGAAGTTCATTGAAGTTAGGCTTCTATTGGGGCTAGGACTGAGTTGGCTATAAAAGAGAGGCATCCACGATGGATTTAAGGTACACAATTTATATTATGAACAGTGAGTTAAGCACTTTATCTATCTTTGGGAGATAACTGACTGGTTCATCGGAGTGCCCCCGGGTTGACGAACCACCGTCGAAATCTCTTATTTCTGTTGCAGGTCACTCAGGCGCCATCTATTCTGCCAGTGTTCTCCAATTGAATACTGAGTTGGCAGTGTGGTTAGAAATTCACTTACACAATT